ATACATAGCTTGAGGACTAAGTTATTGATGTAGTTGTATGGCACTTGTTATTATCATTATTGTTATAAAAAAATTTTTCACTAATAACTGCTCATTCTGAATCAAACGAATTGAAACTCTGTGCTAACTATACTATAGCGGAAATTCTGTTGCCACGTTTTATTTCCTAATCAAACCAATAAATATATATCAACAATAAATATAAATATTAAGAAGCAAGAATACTTTGAGTCAACGTTTAATTTCATCATTTCTGTATTGTAAGAGACGAGAACAACTAAGGAAACAAAAAACTATGCAACAGTGCAACAGAAGCACATCTCAATCCAAGCCAAATGATCATACTAGTATAGAAAGTACCTATTATATTATCTGTGATCATAGGATATCTATGGTAACTTATGACTATTTAATTACGTTTTCAACCAACTTCAAAAAGAAGAAAGAGGGAGGAAGGAGGTATCCAATATGTACATCTAAAGAGTTGGCATTGAGCCGTATTCGGATGCTTTATCGGCTTGAAAATCTTAGTTGTTTATTAATTATATTCATACTGTTTAACTATAATTTACTACAAACATACAAATATTCATAGGCTTACCATCACGTAACCACTTACCATCAGGTGGGTCGTATGCTTGATTACCACCTCAGTGGTATAAAAAAGTCTTTAGAAATTTTATTCTTCAAATATTAGTAAGATTTTAATTTTAAATCGTCCAGGTAGTGCCACAGGTTATAGGTAGGTTTTATTATCAACCGACTTCGAAAAAGAGGTTCTCAATTCAGTTGTATTTTTTTATGTCTGTTACCTTATAACACTATCAGTTCTAAACTGATTTGGAAAATTCTTTTATCTGAAAGGATATACTTACATATTGGTACCATAGAAATTTTATCAAAATCGGTTCATTAATTTATGTATATTTTAATCAAAATAACTGGTTTTGTTACAAATGAAATCAGTTGGTTTTTTTTTATAGAACAAAGTCTTTAATTATTACATATAGATCTATTAACATACACAGAAACAGATGTAGCTAAATAAAAAGAAAAGTATGGGTCTTCAGATGTGTGTATTCTAAAACAGGTTAGAATACAATACAATGAATGTTGTTTAATAATGCAAAATGAGAAGCTTTGATATAATGTTACCCCACTCGCTTATAAACCTTCACCTTGAGACATTAATAAATAACTCGGTCCGGACTAATCTTCGTAAAGTTGAAATTTCAAGTTGTGTATTTCAAATTAGGTACCTTTTTATGAATTATATAATCACTCGATGGTTGACTACCAATACCTCTTAACTGACAGTTAAAAAATTGTTGCAGACATTTTATAAATTATTAACATATCTCCTTTTCCATATTACATATATATATTACGAGTATGTTTATAGCAATATATTGAAAATTGATATTAAAACCAACTAATTAACATTTTTGATTTATCGTATTTACACTGTGACACCTGTAAAAATTTATCTATGTTCTACGTTGTTGATGGCTAACAGTCTAAATATATATATATATATATTATTTATCACTAGCTTTTACTCGCTACTACATACGCATGGATTACGGAAGTAGGAAAATCAATACTGAAATTCTTACACCATATTTTTCAATTCCAACTGACTGGGCATAATAGTAAGTGCTAAAATTCCTACAAAAAATTCTGTAGAATCTAATATAACGTTCAGAAAATATAACGACGGATTAAAATGCAACCAGGGAGTTTTAAAGCCATTGTTCTACACAAACGAGTCAACGTCGGATATTATCTGCTTGAGTTGCAGCCAGGGAATTATTTGGAAGACAAACTTTTAGTGAGCTTACGCGTATGGTATGGTTTGATATGAAATTATAATTTCTAAAAGAAATAATTTTAGATAATAATTTTAATATTTTAACAAATTTTAACAAAAGATATTTTTTTTTATAAATTATCTCTACCACCAAATGAAACAAAATTTAAGAAGTGTGTGATCAATAAATATTTAAAATTAAAATAGAGAAAATTTAAAGGAATTAAATTAAATATCCTCTGCATTTAGAATTTTCCGAAAATTTCTGAATCCAAAATCTAGCGCTTCTCCCTGAATTCGCTGTGATGTAAATAAATTATTTTATATCCAATATCTATACTTTCCCCGTTCAACTGATCAAATTTAGCAATCCAAAGAAATAATACTGCCAGCGTCTTCAAATCCATTCAGACTGGTTTAAATTTTTATATAAAATAGTAATTTGTTCCCCCTTTTTATAGACATGGTGTAACTCTTATTATAAGATTCCTCTACCTACTATATTACTTCCTACTATATATGTAAATATCCTATTAAAATACGTCAAAAAGATTTTTTTATGAAAGCTGTAATGTATTTTATAAAAATATTATATTAATTATTATAATATTTAAAAAGTAAAGTGGAAGATATTTAATCACACTATCGGGACTTAAGGCGATGAAAATTTTTGCAGATAAATAGTATCTACATATCTGCATCTTTATTGCCTTCGTTTCGACGAAAAATTTTTCTTCGCGTTGAGACCCTATAGTGTATTTAAATACGTGTAAATAATGCAAAACCTTAAAAAACTTTTGACTAAACTCGATAAGTTGTCCTCTTCGAGTTTAATTAAAGACCGAAATAAATTAATAAATGAAGGTCTTTGTAATTTATTGAACCTATTCAATCAACAACCATACCCAATATACGGTCTCCCAGTTAATCAAGTTAAACTTAATTTTCTAGTTACCCATAAATATAAATACTTAACTAAACAGTTTGATAATCCCTTGAAAACAATTATATACATAAAATTACGTAGATACGCTAGTTCACTATTCACTGAAATGTACCATAAACTTTCCATTTATTTATTAATATATACCAGTAAACTTTCCCTTTATTTATTAATTTTCCTCTTTTCGTCCCTCACGGATTTTTCTTTATTATAAACTTGGCAACGCTAACAGCAAATGATTTTTGTAAGCTGTCTAAAAAATGGCTTGTATTTGAGAGAACGGACTAAATTGTATTTTACTGTCACTTCTAAAACAAAACGCGTTGGTGACATCTATCAAAATTAACTTTCGACATTTATTATGTTCAATTCTTCCTCCTTAATATGTCAACAAGACAGCAGACTTTTATAAATAGAGTAGGAAATGAAGAAATAAGTACAGACATATTTATCATATACTAGAGATCCGGGCTGACTTCGCATGGGTAGATAGAAATTTCTAAAACAATATACATTACTCGTTGATGATGTAGCTTTCTTAGAATGATTTTTTTTTAATGATTCAAGAATTTTTTTCGTTTGACCACTTCAAATAAAAAATCTTTCCTATTTAGTTCAGAATAATTCACGTGTCGATTTATTTCTAATTCTAAAAGCTAATCTTCGTAACTGGCTTACTGATTTAATAAAACTTTGAATAAACCTTTAATAAAATATTAAGTATGTGGCTTGGAAGACAGGATGAAATTAGACACAATAAGTGGTATTGAATAATATAATACAGGCCGTTATGTACCCGTGCAAAGCAAGGGAAAATGGCTAAACTAACGGTTATAAATGCATAAAAGTTAAAAATAATTATTCATTATGATATTAAGAATACACATATTGTATGGGATTGAGAAGGTTATACGCTACATTTTATCCCGATCAGTAAATTGGTTACGCGGATGAAGTCAGAGATAAAAGCCAGTAACAAAATAAGTAGAATAATATTATAATAAGCAAAGTTTTCCTATAGATTAAAATTCTTATTTTTATTTATTTATTTATTTTTTTAATTATATTTTAAAACTACTAAATAGGCAAAAGACCATAATATAATAATTTATAACATGGAATACTATTTACGAAGTTAATTTTATCATAGCATCCGTCCACCGGTCGAACTACGCAAAAAATAAGTCACTAAAACGATGGGTTCGTTTTTGGTACACAAATTGCTATGTTATGGGTTTTTCAACAAAGAGAATAAATTGAGGCCTAGTCCGATTTGTTCGCTTACCAAACATGCAAATATACGAAGCAAAATAAATATTTATTTCTCATTTCCCTGCATAGCCTCGGTAATCGTGAAAGAACTCATTTAAAATGCATACTTTTAAAGCAACGCAGATGGGGACAGTCTCAAATGTTTCTTGTGGCTTAATGAATGTAACTCTTCTTATATCTTAAAAATTAAGCTTATCACTCACACAATAATTACGAAATAAGTAATTTAGTATTACAACCAGTAATAATTTTGACAATTTTATCTTTAGTTCATTTTTGTTTACACATTCTGCTTGAATTCATGTTGGGAATATTGTTCGACGTGATTACTGATAAATACTAGCCGTATGGGCTTGGCACAAAATGGGCTGCTCCTTTTTTTTCGTGGGTATCGTAAGAGAACTTAATGATTGACTGATAGGTAGCAGCGTCTCTCTTAAAACATTACCAAAAGCCTAACTGGGAAACGTAGCAACTACTAGCAATACCCTCCTTTATAAGGGAGGCTTATGTTCCGCAGTGAACGGTTAACGATTAATATGAAATAATGAAGATCACTAGTAAATAATACCTATATACCCGATTTTTATTGCTGATGTTTTGACATGGCGTCGACATCAATAAAAATCAGATATGAGGTACTATTTTCCTGTTATCTCGACGCATTAAATTCGAACCATGAATTTACCCTAATTATGTCCATATATCTATATCCTCGTTCATTACTGCTGTGTTTATATAATATAAGATTAACTACTCCACCACGATTCCTCTACAGAGAAAAATCAAAAGAAATCCTATACCAATCCATCTGGGCATAATATGCTAATGGCCTCCTCTTATGGAACTCCGTCCATAAGATAAGAACAGATCTCTACCTATACCATCCTAATTATGGTATGGGATTAACGCCTTTTCTTCTGTCACAAAACAAACCTACCTTTTTATTAATGGATTTTTTTTTCTTTGTTGCAGATAAGGAGACGATAAAAGCTTTTTAAACCCGGCCTTTTGTAATGTCACATAATGTTCATATACCACACAATCAATGTGCCTCAACGTGTATGTAACGGGCACAGAATGTGACCAGAGGATTAGTGAGTGACGTGATGCAACTAGTAATGTTGAACTTCTTAATCATGTTCGATGTGGTGTTCATATTCTTTCTGTTTCTGATCGCCGTGACGTGTGTAATGAATTATATGCCGGGGAGGAAGAGGCAGGAGGTGATAGAGGAGGAGGTTGACGATGATGTCATCCCCCCTCCACCACTGTTCGCTGGTGATGATGACGAACTACCGTTGACTAGTCGAGATACATATGTTGTTATTCCACCGCCCCTGGACAACGTTAGAGCTAAGGACGGCTGTCCTATACACGTGGTGTAGTACATAAGCACTGATATATTATGTAAGTATAAAATATCTTTTATTTTCAATTAGCTTTTTCCGCTACTCCGTACACATAATTTTTTAAGTAGGAAAATCAATAAAATAAACTACTTTTAATGGTGTATCATAATAAAATATTAAATTAGAGCTTCAAAAATTTTTGCGTGATACTGGAACAAACATACAGACAAACAGACCAAATTTACAAAAAATATATTTTTGCCTTATATTTTTCTTGTTAAATTTCACATATTACATGGTGAAGGTGGTGGTTTCCTTCATTACTCACTGCCACATCACATATTTATATTTAAAACCTCATATATCTATTTTTCTTAAATATGTCCCATGTACTGACCCCATTTAGGGACAATTTTGTTATATTAGTAAGATTATAATAAATTGGCTAGAATAGGAGTGAATATTTTTAAATTATTATTTACGCAGACCCCAAACAGATATAAAAAAAAGAATAGGAAGAAGAAGCTGCATTGACACTTGTAACATTGAAATATACTGTTAATAAATAATAATATAGGATCAGTTACTTCATAATATCTCAATACTAGCACCTTTGTAACCTTATCCAAACAAAAACATTTACGTATTTTGTCTTCGAAATGAAAGTGGGAATATTATAAATACCTTTGAAATTAGTATAAATAGAATGTAAAAAACATGTTTAATATTTACATATAAAATTAAATTAAATATTAACAGCCTACATAGTCATATTATACATATTATATTATCATTTTGTTTCAGATCAACGTAGGAGTTTATTATGAAGAAGCCTTATGAGAAAGTAGGTGTCGAATGTAAAAGAAGTAGTTGTTTTTTACCAATTAGTCAAATAAATTTTCTTGTTATATAAAGACTTTACTGGTGGGAATTCGGGACTCAAGTGAAGGCACATATGGGCTTAAGGAATTGGCTGTATCACGTTTATAGGCATCACAAAAATATCATAATATTATATTTGACAGATTACGCATTTTATCGAGAAAAAATATAACTTTGATAAATGGTTATAGTATTAGGTAGAACAAATAATGAAAACAATGTTATAGACAAGTTTATGATGTTGATTTTGTAAGTGTAGCAACCTAATTATATTTTCCTTAAGTTTATCTTTAACACCGAGCATATATACTTATCATTTACGTATGTCTCTGTTAGGTAAGCAAACACTATGTTTATGTAAAGTGTTCAAATTTCGCAGAACAATTGCAAGTGCTTGTTTAAGATGAATGTGACTGAATAATAGATATAATAGATAAATTTTAGAGTATAATTAGTTGTACGTTTGCTTGCTACATTGTATTAAGTTTTGGTGCTTGTAAGCACAAATAGATGTAAGCAAACATCTAATTTAGCAACGTATCTCACTCCATTTATACAGTAAACATGGTGTGCTTCAAGGGATTACTTACTTCGGTCTCATTTGTAAGATTTTTCGAAGAAAGTCTAGGTAAATATTCATTATATGATTAAACATTTACTGGTTTAGCGATTCTGGTATTACATTAAGAAATATCTTCCCATAATGGCTGATACCTTTATACGCCTAGTCCAATAGAACAAGCAACTTATTTTTAAAATTTGTACTTTAAGTTGTTCGTGATTTAACACATTAGAAAATAACGAGATAAATTAGCTGATGGTTTACGAGAATGCAGTTGTCGTTACAATTGAAATAGCAAAATGTATTATACTGCTCATAACTTAAAGTCAAAATTTAAATGATAAATTACTTGTCGGAATAGTGCGGTTGGAATGAATAACGATCTTTAATTTGAGACTGAACTGCAACATACGCACGAGTGAACTTTGCGTCAGTAACTATAGTATTTTGTCTCTCAAAATTTAAAGAAATATTTAACCTCATCGTGCGAAGTTTCTGATATAGTATGCACTGTGGTTTACAGTGTACACACACGACCTAGAATGACCTATCTTAATTTATTTTCTTAAACCTACTTTATAAGATACATAACAGCATATTAGAGCATTGTAATAAAATTGTAGAATTAACATTAATTTCAATACCAATAACTCAAAATTCTTAAGACAGTTTCATATAAAGTATAAAATCCTGTGAGGGTAGCGTCCTCTTGTGTGAAGAGTTTCTAGATTGGCATCGGCTTACTATTACATCAAGTCTATTATTTTTAATATGAATTTGAGAAATTTAATATCTACAGTGTGATGTTTCTTTATAATTATTTATTACCGCAAAATTTGTATGCAGGTGAAATTGAAATTATTATTATTCTATTACATCCATTAGTAATCTACCAATAAAACAAAATATGTTCCATACAAAACACGTATTAAAAACAACAAAATTTTTTTAATACCCATACTAACTTGACATATAGACGCACTATTAATATAAAATTCTTTTAAAATATAAATATCTCATCTAAAACATAAATGTGCAATAAGAGGCAAGTTGAACATTAAATGCAACATTATAATATAAATTTATATAACCATTTCTTATTTGTTGGTAGTACTACCATGTTTTCTACTTAATAAACAATTATTTACACAGTGCATTCATTTCATTTGGGCTGTAACACAAGCTTGAAAGATTTGGCTTGAATTAATTTATGTAATATTACACTCGGCTGCTGCGTCGCCATTTCCTCTTTCTTTAATCTTGGCTGGACACGCTACTGCGTGTCTAGCCAAGTTTAAGTTTTAATGACAGAACTCTCTTGAAAGAATGACTAGCGTCCTTTTTAAATATTTCCGATATAATAATCTTATAAAAAATACTATGATATTTTTTAAAACGTTTTGACTTCACCTGTACAGTGTTAATGTTGTGGAATATTTACTTTGTATCACTAACTATAAATTGAAGGCCTATATCTTAAGGAAATCGGTATAATAACAATTAATCTTTACACCTACAGACCCTTTTGTTGGGCGAACTTTACCTAAGACCTTCACAAGATCATCGTGTTCCTGGTATTATCCATTTACACCCCAATTAATCATTTTAATGTTCATTCAAGGTAATTGCTGAAAATTTGCGTACCAATTTACACAACACACTTCCTATTACCTAATATATACGTATATATATTTGTTTTCCATTGGGAATTGGGAGTATTGGGAAATTTCCGCGTACATTTTTAACTCGGTGAATTTGTATTTTTTATTTTAAGTTATTTTATTTATATATCTAATTATTATAAAAACAATGCAAGTATGTAAATTTACCGATTTCATGATACTAATGACTGGTAATTATTTAAATCTTAGATATAACATAAAAGTAACATTGACTTACATTTTATATCTGACAATTTTAAGTTTTATATAGGGCAACACACCCAAAAACTCTGCTTGTAGACACGTTTATCTGTAAACCGTTTACGTGCTCCCAATTAAATAGATATATATTTACTCCATACCATAACGTTCTTTTATTAATTCTACATCACCAGTGACTCCACCAACTATCCGTACAACAACCATATTTTATAACTCAATTAGCAATTTCAATACTTCAATTTATAGTTTTTAAATATTATTTTTATTTTCAATAAGTATTATTACAAATCTGCCATTAAGACACAACATCACAAAACAATAACATATACACTCGTATATAAAAAATAAAAACAAAATTATTAATTAATATTTTTTAAAGAGGTCTTCTGCATAGTTCACAACTGTTTTTTTTTTTCCCAAGAAACATGGATATGAAACTTTTTTACATACTAATATGGGGCGTCCAACTGTCAAGTGAATATGGAATGTTCTTTAAGAAAATGTTCCGTTTTATTAATAAAATACTCTTTTTATTTCATGCTGTATACAAATTATTTATTATCACTGTAAATGTTAAATAAGTACAAATGAGTTAAAATGGTTCAATTGTAACATCCATTGTACAGCGTATCGCAGATGCAAATAAATATTTCCGCTTATATTTTGCGTAATGAATAAATATTAACAATCATTCCGGTCTGAACGAAACATTCGACTATACATAGTAATATAGTTTAGGTTAAGACGTAATTTAATAATAAAAAGACAATACAATTGTATTACGAAATATTTCTCATATCAGTTTTATATCAATTCGTTTTCCGAAAAACTATTAGTAATTTGTTATTAGATGATTAAATGTTAGAGTCTATCTATTTCGAATTTTTTATTATAAAATTATTATTGCGTCGTTCTAAAAACGTTTACACGGGCAATTTAATTGTAGAATTGTCATACTACATACAAGATATCATAAATTTTTTTGCGATAACGATATTTTGTAACTAAAGTTAGATATAGTAGTACAGTATTTGAATAATTTAATATCTTTGACAGGAAGATTCGTTTTTTGCTCCGTTAACTACTGCCAGGCTATTAATGCTCAAAAATTGCCCGTGTATACATTCCTTTATGTTTGTTATTTAAATATCAAATTATAATTATATTTTATTACAAAATTTATGTAATAGTGTTTATTTATTAATTACATACATAGTACAATTATAATTATTAGAGCAGGCTTTTATACACGAAATCCAATAGTATGTAATTAACCTATTTTAAATCCGATATATTATCATGATATTTTATAGTTATTTTGTAATTTAATTAAAAGAAGCATAATGTATTTGAGTAAATTTTTAATTAGTATTTGTAATTATTCTTTCTTATTAATTCAAGGCAAAATTAGAAGCTGTTTTATTCATGTTTTAATCCATCCATCCATTAAATATTATACAAGACTGTCAAAAAGATATAAGTTTACCCTAAAACAGTTTCAGTTTATGCAACGCACATTCCTTTTACAAAATTAACATAAGCTGTTATTTTTGTCTAATTTAAAAGTAAGACAATATGGCTCATGTTTTAGATATATGTTTCAATACCTAATCTGATAAATGATTTAAACTAACATATTAAGTACTCAATATGTTTTTTTTTTAATCAGTCCTGAGTTTTTAATTACGGTTATACGTAATAAAAGTTATTATAATTTATGCTACCTTTTATCGGCAAGTACGTACACGTGACTGGGATATGTTGAATGATCGGGATTAAAAGTAGCCTATATCTTCTTCTATCTCAAATGACCTATAGGCCAAATTACATGGTGATTGATTTAACCATTTAATAGTAAAATCAAAAAGCAAAAAATAAACTCACCAAAACACAAAATCATATAAATACACTTAAAAATTATGAGTTAACAGGTATCATTCTTACTTTCTAATGATCATTTTAGGGTCAATCCCGCATCGCATAATAAATCAACCAATTGGCATGCCAGTAAGAGTAACCTATTTATTGATCCACTCTGCTGGTCGATGCTGTCAATCGAGCTTGAAATAAAATTGATGTATTAATATTCCTTTGCATATTATCATCATCATCATCATCATATCAACCGTTAACTGTCCACTCCTGAATTAGGCCTCTCCCATTAGGGGTATTTTGCCAGTAGTTGCCATATTTGGCAGGCAGGTTGGCAACCGCAGTTAGCTTTTGGTGATATTTTAAGAAGAGCACTGTTGCCCACCCTCGACCAGTAAGTTCATCGTGTGCTAGCGGTTGATGAGTCTTTAAAAAATGGCGTTGCTACAAGTATTATATGACTTTGTTATAATTTAAAATAAAACAAGAGGAGTTATTAATAATTACGCCCTTTTCTTGCGACAATAGCCTTTTAACATCTTGTTAGACATTTCCGCTACGAGACGCAAAATGTTTTAATTTTGTTAAACAAATAATATTTTTTTAAGTGAAGGAAACATTTCTAATTTTATATTTATTTTAATTAATTTTATTGACCAATAAAATATGATATAAAATGTGTATTTAGGTTGCCGAGGTTTCCTCAAGAGACTACAACATGGGGTTCATCAAAAATAGGGCCACGAGAGCGTATAAATAAATAGTACAGTGTTATAAAAATGAATGCTTGCTTTATTTATTTAAACTTCAATGCATATTATACATTAATAATATATATATGGCGCACGTAATTCCTATCTATAATAAGAGACTACTAAGGAAACTAAATGATCAAAGGATGGTAGCAGCGTTGTTCTTAAAACATCACCAAAGCCTAACTGCGGTTGCCAATCTGCTTGTCAAGAGTGAAAAATACTGGGAACACTCCTCTTATGGGAAGGCTTATGCTCAACAGCGGACAATAAACTACTGATATGATGATGACGATAATAATAATAATAATTAATATAATTACAATTTTGACTTCTTATTTTACAATATTACGATTGCTTGTTTTGATTAATGAGAGAAAAAATATTTTATATATCATTTATAAAATTATAGTAATATTTTTTTTGTACAACTCAGAATGGCAAACAAGCTGACGGCCCACTTGATGGTAAGTGGTAACCGTCGCGTATAAACATGAGCAGTACCATGGACATAACAGATTATACTGTTTCGCCCATGATACTCCCCATGCGTTGCCATTCCTAAGAACTCAGATGTTATTCCTCTGTACCCTGTAAATTCACGCCAAATAAATATATTACATTATTAACCTTTACAATGCCTTCTTGACTACATAACTGTTCCGAATTGATTATACTGATACTAATAGTCTAATAGTAATTTACAATTACCTACCACTTATTATTATAATTTACTATAAAAAAATTACTTAAGTAAAATAAATATAACTTATAAAAATTCGTGTAAAGATAAGACAAAGTCTATCAATTACTTCCAGGCAAATAACAATGTTAATGAAGTGATGATAAGTGACAAGAGTAAAGGAGACATTCTCAATCTAATAAACTTCAGGCTCTTTTAAACGTCATTTTGTCGACACTTAAAGGATCCATTACTTTCGTCTGTTTTTTGTAAAAAGCAAAAGAATTTTATTGATACCTATTTAAATTAACCTCGATCTCAAAAATAGGGTTGTCGAAATTCCATGTCACATCGAATGTTCATGTAAAAGTTTTTTTTAACGAATGATAATGGATTAGTAACCCTACCTGCACTATACATATACGTGTACGCTACGCTAGGGAGGTACTAGTGACTAAGTAGGTCAACAAGTCTATCGTGACTAATTCACCAAGAATTAACTATGATGGTTTCCAGGAAAGATTGTATAAAGGTCGACCTGTTGCTAGCAATGAAACCACTAAACTCATTTACTATAAACTCCTCCCCTAATATACAACTCATTTTCCAAAAAAAAATACCAATTTTAGAAATAATAATATAGATTTAGACAATAATATATACTACCTTTTAAGTAAATATCTTTTATTTAGTATTAGCCGTTAACTGTCCAATACTGGGCATAGGTCTTCCCCATAAAGAGAGTTTTGCCAACAGTTGCCACACTTGACAGGCGGGTTGACAATAAGTATCTGCTGAATATTAATTTGTATTTTTAATTACCGATGTGATAGGTACAACAATGTAATCCTGGTTTAGTAGGTAATATTAAAAATTATCTAAAAAACGTTCACAGTCTCGTAACTGTTTATGCTGCACATCTGTTGTTAATTACAACCGACGTGACGTTATATTATCTACTTGCATTAATCTAAGCGTTTCTAAAAAAAATCCTTCATATTACCTACAGTTTACAATGACAATTCTTACTAATAGCATAAATATGCAAGTTAATTTATTTATTGATTAGTTACCTCTTAATATCTTCATTAAAAGCATACACCTACCCTCATATTCATAAAACTAAAACAAACCTATTTTACCTGTTACACTTTTTAAGCTAAAATAAGTTTATAAAAGCTTTGATGTTCTCATGATTAAGGGAGCTAATTTTTATTACAGATACAGGCTACTTTTTGTCCCACTTATTATTCTGTCATAATAAGAGTTCAATATTCTCAGGTATATATATATATATATATATATATATATATATATATATATATATATATGAGAGTTTTTTAATGATCACTGTTCTGTTTAAGACACATTAATTGATATAAATAAATAATACAAATTGTTATTTTGACTGTCATGTCAAGATATTATTATTATAAATTTGTTTGAATGTGTCAAGTCTTAGATTATATAGATAGAACATCTCCATAGAAATGCTTCGAGAAAAACAGATCAACTTTTTCATACAATTTTGCGTAATTAATAGTTATGAGCGATTCCTTAATAACTTCTATATTTATTTTGTCTTATAAACTCTGCATGTTTTTAATACGTAAACACTCATTTTATTTATTAAGTAATATGTCAAGATACATTTTATGCGTAAATATATAGAATACTGATAAAAAAACGAGTCAGCTAATTTGACAATTAGTTGCCAAAAAGTTAACCCAATTTTTAAGGTTTCGATGCTCTATCTATAGGATCTAAGGTCCAAGTATATATTTTAAAATAAACATTTGATTAACCAGTAGAGTTATGTTAAGTTTATTAATCATATTAAGTTATATAAGTGAATAATAGGAATTATTTTGACAGTCAATATAATTACTTCAAATTTATTGAATATGTTGAATTATATATTTAAAAATAAACATATACCAACACAATCATATATATACGAAGTTAGAAAATCCACAAGAATTAAGTTGCCTAATAATATAGTAGATAAAAAATAATAATCAATATTCGTAAATAATATAAAATGTTGGACGTAACAATTTATAATACAACTAAAAACTGTAGGGACAGAATAATGTGAAGTCTTAAATCAAATTGCATACATTATGTGATATAATATACACAATTTTTAAAATGTAGTTATAGTGACATTGTTTTGAAATTATTGTTATACGAATGTCATCTAAAAGAAGCATAATTATGTAACTAATAAAATGCACTAAGGCAGTGTCGTATGCATTGGTTTGTTTTATTAACATGTACATATATACCTATATATACATATACCTACTACTGTGCTTGCATGATTGTATGACTATATTTTTTATAGAGATTGGGCATTAAATTAAATGATATGGGCAGTGAAATTACAGAATATGGAGATAAAACATTTTAGTCCAAAAAGAATACATACGTAAGCCATACCAAAGGCATTACAAAGTATTTTATAATGTACATGGAGCTGTTCAGGTCTAAAGACTACCGTTATCACTTTCTATCAGGTATTACTTATACTGACAGGCAACGATACTATTTACTATAATGCGGTTTAAAAAGAGATTTTATAGAAATTGTAATACGATTCGTTTTGCCGCTCGTGACATTGTACTAGACCGTTAATATTATGGCCTAGTGCGAGGTAAGTATTGAACCAAATTAATCTTTCGACACCCCAGGTGAGCTGCCTCTTCATTTGCCACCTATACTTAAAAACAACTAGCAATTTTCAGAGCTTTGTCATGTAGCCTTCAATACTGATACAATTAAAAAGAATCTCATTAAAAACATAAATGTGAAATGAAAGCCAAGTTCAATATAACGAATATGCGTCGTTTTGACTCCGCCGAAAAAAAGAATTGTGATCTATATTGGTGCCAAGTACTGTGTAGAAAATATTGAAATATACAAATTACAAGAGCATGCAACTTTATAAAATGTGTTTATGTAACAATTTATTGTTTCTTGGTATTACTACCATATTTGTTACTTAATAGGTATTATAAATTCTTAAATTTTAATAGTGAATTATTTACACAACGCATTTTTCCCAACAAACTTTAAATTTGGCAGAACACGCTGCCGCGTACTTAGATTTAATAATAATTACAATATTATGACTGTGTATACTTGTATATACCAGCTAATACTGGAAAATAAATCTATAAAAATATATCACTGGATTTATCACACAACACCGTCTGTCTAGTCGCAAACACGGGACTTGTTATGGAGGATTTAAAGGGAATTTTCGAAATTCATATGGGTGATCCATTTCTACACAGTAAGCCAGTGTATCGGGAAGCTGGTCTGATTCCCAGACACCTAATGTTCCTCCCAACACTCTATCTAACTCTGTATGTGTTCATAATATATAAATCGAAAATTGCAAATAATGTACACAAAAAAATAGAAGCTATAGAAACTTTCTAAAGTCACTTAAATATTTATATAAAAGTAATTCTCCTGTCTCAAAACCAATTTTCGTTATATCCCAGTAAAGCCTCGTTTCAAACAAAAAAATAAAACACTGAAATCGTTTCATTCATTAATTTGGAAGCTACTATGGTACTGACATGCAGTCAAAGGGTTCAAATTTATAATAATCCTCTTTTGCGTGGAATGAAAAAATAAAGGGAAAGCTTTCTCAATTTGTTTATATTTGTTGTGAAATTGTTTGTACGTATATTTTCATTATCTGAATAAATTATAGTATATTTTGAAATTCAAATAATATATACAACGAAAAGAGTAAATGTAATAGTAAGAAAATCAACTTGAATATTTAGACTCGGTTCAGAGACAGTAAACAGGAATTGTTGAGTTCGCACTCATGAACAGTATTATGTATACATAAAAGTTAATTTACTTGTGAAATTTCTTTTTAATGTAACCTTAAAATCAAGTTATTGCTACTGTAAAATTCTCATATTTTGAAGTCCGAATGTTTGTCAAAAGTAATTCGTGATCATTCTAACTACTTTGTGCAGGGAAAGAGATAATAAATTAACAATGATGTCTAACTGCCCCATAAGTCTAAATCTTAAATTTCACCTGTCTAACTTTAAAATGAATTTCCATACAAATTATTAATACCCGTTTAACTACCTTAGGGCTTGAATTTTTAAAATTTCTTTTTTTATTCTTCACCTATGGTATATAAAGAGCTTATCTGCAAAATTTTGAGATTCTAGATTCAGCAATTTTGGCTGTATGTTGATACATAAATCAGCCATTTCTCTTTATACATGTTGATATTAACTGTTTACTTGTATATTTATTGACTAAAATGCTTTGTTTAAAGCATTGTTTTAGATGAATAATAACGATTTATTCCATGTAATATCCAGCTACGTTTAATAGGTCTCTCGTGCTGAGGGCATTATACGTATATTAGCGGATTAGCACAGTTCTATTGAAGACTTTTTTATTACAATTCCTGTAAAACGGCTCTTTGAGTGGAATTAAGCTAAAACCCTTGACTAGAACATAATTAGCACAGGAAAATGCACCCATGATCCGAGATTCGCAAAGACCAATGTAAACAAAGCTCCGATACTTCATTACTTAACCCTTAAACCACAAATATTCGCTGCCTGCCAAAGTTATTTATATCCCTTCGTTACGGTAGAGAAAATAGTTGGGACCCTGAATTGTTTCCAATTACTCAATCAATTGAATAATAAATCTTTTATTGTAAAGCAGTCTCTATTTCTATTCACAGAGCTATTAAATATTCCTATAAAGTAAGGTAAAATTGATAAGTTTTTATGGGGTAATTTTCGAAAACAATGAATCAATAAAGTATACCGATACAAGGAGGAATCGATTCAAAAATAAGTTATTTAAGGTAGGTACTATTCTGTAAAAAAAATTCACAGGAATTGTAGGCAATGAGTCTGACTAAGCAAAGTTATGGGAATGAATATAAATAAAAACGTAAAACGTCCATAATGAAATTTTTCTAATTAAGAATTTATATCGTAAGTCAGACACGAAACCTTTTAGTAGCTCAAATGATAAATTATATATTTGTAGAGATTTTATGAGATTCCCACATATAATGAGAATCGTGGAAATACAAATTAGCTATATTTAATTTTCAACCGACTTCAAAAAAGGAAGTTGTCAATTCGATTGTATTTTTTTATGCCTGTTACCTTATAACTTCGTCAGTTATAAACTGATTTGGAAAATTTTTGTTTTATTCAAAGGATATAATTATAGATTGGTTTTATGGAAATTTAATCGAAATCGATTTAGTAGTTTAGATTTTAAAACAAAGTAACTGGTTTTGCTACAACTATAATCGATTTTTTGGTGGAACATGATCTTAAATTATTTATTTAATTAAACTCACATATAATAAAAATTATATTTTTTGTAACTTGTACAAAAAACAGCGAATTTCAAAGTATCTATAGCTATTACAATGCAAGTATAATTCGTCATAGTCGTAGAATACTGACGGATCTGACAAATATTACATATATATTATATATCCGTCAGTATTCTACGACTATGATGAATTATAAAATCTAAATATAATTGTTGTCCCAAATAACGAAAGGAAAAGATCTAAACTTTGTTATCAGCTGTTAACCATCCACTGCTGAACATAGTCTGCCCCTATGGGGGGATTTCCCAGCAGTTACTTAGCAGAGGATTGGAAACCACAGTTAGGCTTCGGTGATGTTTTAACAGGCACGTAAACAAACTTGTTTATATATAATAAAGCCCTGAATAATGTTAGTAACTATAAATAAAAATTATTTGAATGGTAATTTAATTAACCATAAAAACAAAAGCTTTTTCAGTGCTTCACTCATAAACTTCTAAACTTTCCTAAATTACGTAATAAATAAAAAAGTTTATTAGTCAATTACTAACTCAGGGAATTTGTATCTTTGTTTCGGAAATTGAACAATGAACCATAACAGATTTTAAGTGCTCCTCAGAACTGGCAGGATTTTCTTTAACTTTAATATAATAAGAATTTTACAAGATGAAACGTAAATGATAATAAATAAAATTCAGTAATATAAAGGAATTTTTTTTTTTGAAAAATATCATCTTTAGTTATTCAATATCACAATACGACCACGGACAGAGCCGGGAGATACAGTATACTATGTATTATCTAATATTAATTTTATCTTGGTAAAAATATTAGCTAATACTTATGTAAGTTTATTTGTTATTTATATATATTTATTTGTGGATACCTGTAAGTTTTAGTATGTATATGTATATCAATTAATA